TTTGTTTCAATGGCGCACTTCTGCTTGCACCTTTTCTCCTACCTACATGTTGACGGTCACGAAGCGCTGTGCTCGGTTGGCACTCCACGCTGCGGCCCAGGACTGCCTCCCTTTGCCGGAGTCAAGCACTTTTGGCCCAATTACCTCCTCCTGCAGCAAATCTACCAATGGTTCTTTCTTTCCTTTCCGAAGTTCCTGGACAAAAAACCGGCAGACTGGCTGCAGCTTGTCACGCTCTGCTGCCTTGAACTTGCTCAGCAAGAACTGCACAGCGTCTGCCGGATCATCCAAGTCCAGCTCCAGCTTCAATGGTTCTGGCTCTTTCGTCTCTGGCTCTTTCTGGGGAAGTGAGGAAGCCGAAGTCTCTGCTGCTGCTTTCTTCAAGGCAGGCTGTCCTTGCAAACGCAAGACGCCTGGATACATGCAGCCTTAACAAAAAACCGGTACAAAGGATGCGTTACTTATTAATCATTGGACCCTATTCAAACCACCCTCTGGCAGGTCTCCTTGGGCTTCTTCAGAACTCTTGCGCTTGCGCATTTCACCAGTCAGATCACCAGACCACCGAACCAAGTTCGCTTTGGCTGCCGTCTCTATGCCAGAAAGCTCTGCAGCTGTGTCGACCACAGCAGGAATCTTCTTGGTGTATCCTTGCTGCTTGATACCCTGAGAGACAGCGTCTTGGATGGGACAATGCTTCGCGTTCTCAATTCCGCAATAGCCGCATCTCGGAAGCGACGATGGAGTCCTCTTGCCGCAGGCTTCACATTTCACCTTGGCATCAGCTCGCTTGTATCCTCGTGGCGCCTCTAAAACTTCCGCACTCTCAGGCGCCTGGAATGCCACATCCTTGGGAGAAACAATGTTCCGAAACAAGGTAGCACCCCTCTTTGCAAAGATCTCCTCACGCGCCAAAGGTTGCCCAGCGACCAAAGCTTGAGTATGCTGGTGTTCTCTTCTGTGAGGTTTACATTGCAGTCATGACAGACATTCCCCGCAACCTGGTCTGCAAAGGAAAAGCATGAACAAATTTCTTTAAAATTCCAGGGCAAAAACTTGCAGGTATTGCATCGCATGGTAGCCTAGCTCAGAACATGAAACAAACCAGTAAAGTCAACTCAGACTGTCCCAGAAACCACCGGATCTGAGACAGTGCCCCCCACTGCCGCTTGATCTCCAAGAGGTTGCACCCCGCCAGCCGCAGTCTTCCACCACGGTTGGTTTGTCATCCTGGAACGTAAAAACCATCGTGGCCAATCTGAAATAGAAGTGAAGCGAAGGGGGAGCTACCCCACAACCTCAGTCAACAATCACCTCCACGCATGCTCCTTGTTGGGGACGGAGCTACCCCACAACCTCAGTCACCAATCACCTCCACGCATGCTCCTTGTTGGGGACGGAGCTACCCCACAACCTCAGTCACCAATCACCTCCAAGCACGCTCCTTGTTGGGGACGGAGCTACCCCAATCATGCAAAGAGCGCACGACAGCGCTAAACCCTGCAGTCCTGCAAGACTGCTGTCTGGCCCTTCATGAGCTCCTTCATTTTCTTTTGGCACATGGTTTTCAACTCTGCAGTGCTCTTGGCGTCCTTGTCCGGCAAAGAAACAAGGAAAGCCAAGATGTCGTCAGCAAGCTGCTTCTCCACACCCGGGACACTAATGATTCGATGAGCTCTGCTCCTGGTTGGGAAGTGTACTGCCAAGCTTCGGACTTCCCCATAGCATGTTTCCTCAATTATGTGTCCAAGGCTGCTGCCACCCAGTGTGGCCACTCCTCACGGGGCAGCTTCTTGCGTGCTGCCCAAGCGCAAGGAGCGTAAACTCCTGACTTTGCAATCAGAATGCCGCCTCTTCCCTTGCGAACGTGCCACGGAGCGTGGCCTGGCTCTGGAAAACGAGGAGCTTTGCAACGAGAACACGCTCCACCTTTGGTAATGCCCTGCGGATTTTGCACTTTGTGGTTAGGTCTCCCCTCACGAGACCCCACTGTAGCCCTGAGCTTGGACTCCACTTCAAGCAGCTCACACAAGGTCGCTTTGTCAAAGAGGGCGCGCAGCCGACGAATGCACAAGGCCTTGTCCTCCATCTGAGCCAATGTGCAATGGAATGGGCTCAGGTTCATTCATCTTCACGCCAAACAAGTTCCCTCAGCGAAACACCTTTTCGCTACAAAGACTGCGCAAGCACAGTGTTCCTAGACAACTTACTTTTTCATAAGAGAAAAGTTCACAGCACATCTCCAACAGCAAAACACCATGGGCACACTCATCCAAATTGAAAAAAA